TAATGGTTTTGGGGTCGTGGGGCATGACACATTAATAGAGGAGTAGATGATATAGATAAGCGGCTGAAAAGGGGAAGGGGTCAGAAGACCAGAAGGTGGCAACTCCGAATGGAGGATTTCTGCGCAACTAGGTGTACATTGATTATCCCATGATTGAGACTACCCCGCATACCGGTATACAAAACCCGAAATCACAACCTCAATGGTGAAAAAAACGCATGAAAATTACCCCGGATTTTGCCAAAAGTGCCCATTAAAATTGAGGTAAAAAACCAAACAGCAACACGTAAACAGCAATGTTTATTGCATTGATGAAGGATCTGATCATTTGTTAATAAACAGGTCGAGCTCCGTGACCACGATTGGTTTTGCTTGGGATGATTGGTGTTACGAACCTCGAGATCTGGTTTTCCGTAGTAAACACCCCACGATTTAAAATTATCGTCCTGCTGTTCTTCTGTGAAAACAACCCAACTTCTCTGTGGTTTCAAACATTATATAGTTTTGCTCCCCCATAAAAACGGTGGTAGTCCCATCTGATGTCATAGTTTTTTCTGGCAAACCATACATAGGCCTTATATAGGCCTCATATATGGTAGGTACCTCCAATCAATCGGATCCTGAAATGGCCATTGAATCAACCGTTATCAAACTCAGCGATGGAGGCCTTGAGAAAAGAGGTCCGAGAGTACTTGAGCCTTCGCCTCAGAGGTGATTTTTTTTTGGGGCCGAGATGATGGAATTGTCCACCGGGCTTTTGGGGATTCGAACAGTTATGTCCCAACTAACAGTTATAAATGGAATTATAACTCCTATAACTAAGGTTATACATCATTATTATTCCATTTATAGCAGTTAAGAGCCCTAAGTGAAGATGTTCGAAGAATAGAAAATAGGTGTGTGTTTGTTTTGGTGAAGAAGAAAAATAGATGATTATGTGACTGGTGTTGTTTTTCGTCGGAAGTTGAAGGCGTCTTTTCTTGTCACCAGATTCTGGAATTGACCACACAAAAAATATTATTAATATGCATGATTAAAACACGTTAAAAGAACACTAAACCATCCCCCAGTCACCAGTTTTATAGGGTGGATTTCAACCATTCCCACATGGATAGTTTATGATTGTTTTAACCACATTAACCAACTAAGATGATGGAAAAAAAAGATTAGGATTTTGCCCAAAGGGATGATCAAATTGAGGGGTTTTGTTGGGTTGGAGACCTGGATTATCCTGGATTAGTCGGAGGGGGGATGTGTATGCAGGAATTATATGGGAGGTGAAGTGCCGGGGATTCTTCCAGATGTAGACTGACTGGATTCTTATCCGATATTTATCAGTCGAACGGATCGTAAGATATGTGTAGATATGTTCTATACTGCGTGTCCTAGTTCATAGATATATGTCTTTCACACTTAACTGGATGCCAAATAAACTAACGAGCGGTACATCACATGTTTGGCATGAAACCGATCCCTCCACTGGATCACTACATTCCCCAAACGATTACCAAGGTGGTGCCCCCGTTCGATTACCAACTTGATGTGTATATATATATATATACCTTACAAATCCAAAACCGAAGTTTTTCTAGGGTTTGCTCAAATACCCGGGGTTTACACACAAAACCCGAGGTTTTCGAAAACCTGATAACTTTTGAAGTCTGATTGTTGTTTTGAATTCCATGCTGGATCAAGTCCGCATGCTGATGCGTTTTTTTACTGGCAAAACTCACCGTTTTTGCATGTCAGACACAGTTGGCCATGAGCTGGCTGGCACAACCACGCTTGCTACCCCATCCACTTTCCAAAAGGTTATGTGTTTTCTGCCGATGCCCCTTCACAAATCACGTTCAAACCGTTGAAAATCCAGTGAAATCTCAACCATCTAAACCCGTACAAAAAGTACGGGTTAGTACGGGTTTAGTGTACGGGTTTAGTACGGGTTCAGTACGGGTTTGACAAACCCGAGGTTTTTGCAAAGACCTAGGGTTTTCCCAGAAATACTACGGGTTAGTACGGGTTTACTACGGGTTGAGTACGGGTTTGAACAAACCCGAACTTTTCCCCATCAAAAACATTTAAATTAAAATAACATTGGTATATAACTATGTCCTGAACTTGAGTGGTAATGGCATGAATGGGTTTGGTAGTTTGGTTACTGTATATTTTTCAATGATCACCCCATTAGTTATCTCCAATCCAAAAAAAGAACCATGTTGATATATCGTGCTACATTCCAGTGAGGAAACCCACAAAAGGCTACAACAATGGAACCCAAACATTATCAGAAGTGGTTTGCCGAGGCCTGAGCAGAGGGCAAGGGAGAAACCCGAGGTTTTCTAACTAAACCCGAGGTTTTCCATGAATTCCTGGAATACCCGAGGTTTATATTTAAACCCTAAGAAAAGTTAGGGTTAAGGTTTACTAGGTATATATATATATATCTAATTTCACTAGGAATTATGGTAGAATATGGTAGATATATGGAACTAGTTGAAAAGGGGTTATGAACCAACAAGCATAAATTGGGGCACCACATTGGAAGTGCAGATGTATTTACCATACCCCATAGTTTTCAGCTAGTTATTTCAACGTAGTTAGCAAGTTGTTGGTTGAATCCCTACCATCCAAGATGTTTAACCTCTTATAGCCAGCAAATCAGTGTATCCATGTGTAATCATGTGTTTCCCCATTGCTGGTTTCGCATCATGTTGGCTCAATCTCTGTGGGTAAAACAATGTCATGTTTACTATCCCCCAGCATTTTTTGGTTGGTAGTATGGCTACCTATGGCTACCATTCCCAGTCATATGGGCGGTAAAAAATGGCATGGTAAAATAGCCAGATGATGTATCTTTTCCATAGCGTTGCCTTCCTGGTGTTCATGAATCTTGTCAGCGGCGAATCTTCACCATCGGGCCTTTTCGGGTCACCGAACTGGGTGGTGGATGTTAAATGAGGGTTTCCATAAATGGGATAATGGTAGTATGGGAAATGGTAGTATAATGGAACAATATATAGCCACCAATAATCAACAATCAACCATATTATACTGTATCTAGGTAAATTATAACGACTCACTGCGACCGAACCCTGGAATAATGGCTAGGATTTGGGAAATCATCCCCAAATGGCCGAACTATTCAGGTTACTGAAATATTGTAATTTACCGAAATAAATGGGAGTACCTCAATAGCTGGTTGATTTATAATGGAAATTCCTATGAGAATGGATGGGTTGAGGGTACCCCCATTTTAGGAAACTTCCAAATCATATTAAATCCCTATCGTAGGTGATCTTTGGTGTTGAAGCAGTCTGATGTTCCATGTATAGAAAACTGTCCATTTTAGGCCCGGTTGTTGGGTTGAAGTCATACAGAAATACCAGTCATGTTGAATTTCCAGAGTGTACAGATACCTATTGTCAATCAATATTGACTGTGGATATTGACTAAACGTATCACGTGGTTGTTTTGTTTGTTACCATGGGAATTAATTCTTTATTATAGAAGAGATCTGATATGTACAATATTTGCAATATGTTTGATATCTTCTATATGTTGGACGTTTACAACATGCGAGTCTAAATTAGTTTCCGAGTTTGGGCCCACGAATCACTTCCCACATCTTTGTGATCTCCGCCTTTCTGCCTAGGCCGAGACCATTTCCATATCCTTCGTGAGAAGGATGGGCGCTACAATTTGGCGACTCGGCGATTGTGGCGGTTGATACCCTCTGGTAACAGTTTGCTATTGAAAATGGCCCGTTTATAGTTGATTTACATTAAAGATGGTGATTTTCCATAGCAAACTGTTAGTTTACCAGAGGGTACGTGGGCTGAACAACTGGCTTTGGCTTGGTGAATCTGTGCCAGGATTGGCGTGTGGATTGGCAAGTTGGTTGTATGAATTGTTTGTCCTATACTTGTGATCAAGCTATAACTTACTGGTGCCAAACGCAGGGAATGAGGGAATGATCCACAATAAGTATCAATAATCATCCCAGCAACCCCCATTTCCATCCATTCCCTACTAAGCACCAGTAAGATAAAGGAGCAATTTATAGCCATGGCTATGAAAGTTTATTTCCGAGGGGACCACTATTTGGCCACCAAATGGACGTTTGTGTTGTTTGAACATCACTGGGAAAAAGGCCTTTACCAATAATACAATGTGAGGCCCCCGTTCGATAGCTAAGTTGGTGCACACAACTCCAATAACTATGGTCTATGGTACTTATAACTATAGTTACTGGGGCTTTTGTTAACCAACTTAGCTGTCGAACGGGGGCCTCACATTGTAATGCTTTTCTTCATCCTACCGCGACATTACTCAACAGAATTGAATTCTACCCCCGAACGGCTCAGTTGATCGATGGTGGTTGCAGCAACAAACATGTCATCCTTTTTTAAATGGTTGTTTAATGAACAAAAATTATGGTATCATTGGGATCTACAATACCCATATGCTCCATGTATAGCATATTTACCTACATTTGGGTGATTTTTAGGGTAAATGTTGGTAAATATTCCATACATGGAGCATTTGGGATAGGGATATACTGGGCCTCTACCTAATATTAAACACCCCTCCGAAACCATGCATGGTGGATGTGGGGATGAAATCACATATTTGGGACCATAGAATGCAGGTTTTTATTTATGAACTTGGATTGGGATTAATAATAGACTTCGGGATTTATAGCTAATAATGATCCCAACTTCGGGGTGGTTTATAGCCTTGGGTTTCCAATATGACCTTATGACCCACTCATTTCTTATCAGTGGGATTATCAGGACCCTAAAAGGAAGCTACTGTGCTATATAAGGCGATATTTTCTGGGCGTCTTCCCTTAGCCCTTTTATAGGCCTATGGGATCCTATGGGCCTATGTATATCCGTGGTATACGTCCCTCCTGAAGTGGCCGTTTGTGTCTTCAAAAAGAGCAGTTTCGGCTCCGAGTTCCCGTTTCCTGCTGACACGCGCAACGCCAATACGCCACCGAAATCATCGGCATGGCGCAGTGGCTTTCGGATTCATCCCAGGCGGTATCTTTCTTGCTAGGCCTGGTGGGTGTGCTTTCGACAGAGTCCGAACAGTTCGTTGGTGGCAAATGTTATGTTTTTTTTGGGTTTTAAAGTGCTATAAACATCCATTTTACTGTAGATATATCGCCATTATTATGCAGTTGCAGTGCAAACAGTGTATTCTTCGCCTTCGTCTTGAATGTTTTGACACAAGATTCCGATACAACATGTTTACCTGTTTCGATGTGGGCGCTCTTGCGAGCATGTCTTGAGTTGGGTCCTCTTGGTCAAAGGAGGAGTTTCAGTTGTTGCCAAGCAAATACACTCACAACCATCTGGACACTTGACAGTACTTGGCAGGCTCCAAATCAGCCAGAGATGATGAGGCGAACAGCCAAGTTCTTTGCAGATCAACGCAGCATCTGCACCATTTGCGGGCCTTCCTTGAGGCAGTGGAGCGTCACTTTGCCGGGGATGTTGCTTCCTGCTTGGTTGGACCTAAGACCTGAACTTCCTAAACCCAGCAATTCATTCATTACGGCGGCCAGAGACCATTTGAAATTTGAAAGGTTCAAAACAAGCAACACGACATTGTCACACACAACTGTTTCACACACACACAAATCTGTCACGCAACTCTTTCACATGCAATTTGGTCACACACACACACACAACATTTGTCCCACACAATCTGTCTTCCACCATATCCTTTCTCTTTCCTGCCTCTCCCATTCCATGTTCACATCTGCTATTGAAAGAAGTTGACATGTGGGGTTATCCGGTCCTCTGTTTTGCCAGACACGGAGAATCATAGAGAGGTACCCAATCAACATCTTTTTTCTTGCCCATCCAAGACTAGCCATGCCTGTGCCCAGTTCGACCTTAGGCAATGAGACTGGCTTTGAAAACATGATCGGCCGCATCCGCGAGAACTGGCAGTGCAAGTTGGATACCGTGATTGATGTTAAACAAGCAGACTTTGAGTCCCCAGGCTGTCCAGACTCTGAAGATTTTTGTTTGCCCATGAATGGGATGCAACGTTCAAGAGCTTGCTCCCTTTTCCGTCCTTCATGTCAAACATATGAGACAAAACGGTGCATGTTGAGCTTGTGAAGTGATTTAGAAGAGGTTGCAAGAACCGAAGAGCTTAGAGACTATAGATACAATGTGAGGCCCCCAAGACAGCTAAGTTGGTTTATAACTCCAATAACTATGGTTATGGTAATTATAGTTTTTGGGGCTTATAAACCAACTTATAACTGGGGGGCCTCACATTGTAGAGACATGGGACGTAGAGCTCTTAGAGTCATGGCAAGTCCATTCTGATCTTGGGACCCTGTACACAAGGCAACTGGTTTAGAGAAATGGGAAGGTTTGTGCTCTCCTCTGTAGTTCAATGCCTAGGAAAAATCCCTAAGGACATACATGTATATATATATATATATCTTGTAAATAGATCAATCGATGGCAATGAATGTAAATGATGTAAATGGAAAAACATTGATATATAATATGTGTATATTTATATATAAATATATTATTAATATATAATTTATATAATAGAAATGAGCTATGTCCAACTAAACACGTCCTTCTTTTGCAGAGTATAACGGTTGACATGGATCATGGATCCGCCATGTTTTCAAATCGCCTTTCGACACGACACAGGCTTTCTGCTCTGTTCCTCATGTTCCCGCACCCAAATGCTCCATGTATAGAATATACCAACATTTACCCTAAATATCACCGAGTTTTGTAGGTAAATATACCATACATGGAGTATATGGTAAAAATCACCATTATATATATATATATATATTTATAATTCTGATTGGTGGTTTGGAACATTTTTCCATATATTGGGAATGTCGTCATCCCAACTGACGAAGTCATATTTTTTCAGAGGGGTTGAAACCACCAACCAGTAAATATGCCATACATGGAGCATATGCGGTATGTTGGTGGCATGAGTCGTCAAGCGAAGACTTGCTTGACTGTTAATCCTGCTGGGTTTGCCCACGAGAGTCATGGCTTTGTCTTGAACAACGGTGATTTACCATTTACCACCAATATGTTTGCCACTGAATTGCAGTTAAACTGGTCAGAATTCATAGGATTTTTTGGAGGTAATCTATTTTCAGACAAAGCCTGATAAAAAGGCCACAGATCCAGTCGCGGCAGTGCATGAAGATTTGCTCATGCACTTCATGCACTTGTTCGAAGCCAGTTCTCCAGCTGATGAATCGACGTCTTGGTTTTTGCTTTGAGCCGCACCATGTGCCATCCACAGACACCCTATCAAACTTGTTGTTGAAGGGCCTCCGAGTACCCTCTGGTAAACGTTTACAGTTTGCTATTGAAAATGGTGATTTAGTTCGTTGATTTACCTATTAAAAATTGTGATTTTCCATAGTTATGTTAGTTTACCAGAGGGTACTCCATGTTTTGGGATGTGTCGGTGAGGCATCCATGGATATCCAGCCTGGTACCCGGATAGGCCGCATTTGGCGTCTAGCTGAATCCAGGCTTGATGTTTAGGGGCACTGAAGGCCGACGTCCCGGCAGTGCCTGTTGGTGGTAAAGTTAGAGTCTCATGGGAATATAATAGGTATACCTATCAGTGGAATTTCAGGACCCTAAACTGGAGGTACTGTCTGTAGCATAGTTTTGGCCATATGTTGGGGATGTTCCCTGCAATTTAGCCTTGAAATTTAGGCCTTGTTTATGGTACCTCTAATAAATCAGTATCTGAAATGGCCATTGGCATGATTCCCCTTCACAGTGGTGAATCGATGAAGTTGGAAGCATCCTCAGAAACCAATGGCCACTTCAGGAGCCTAAATTGGAGGTACCTATACAGGCCTTATGTAAGGGAATATCCCTAGAAAATATGGCCAGAAATATGGTACTATCGCACCTCCATTTTAGGATCCTGAAATACCCATTGAAGAAATAGTCAACACATGTTAAGGCATGTTAGCCCATTTTTGGACAGTCTTGTCACTTGAAATTGGGCTAAAACTCGCAAGGTATTGGGCATTACTGGGCCCGCTAGACTCTATTACCGCAAGAAATCCTTCAGGGTGGTGCCCCAGTTCGGAATCGCTAAGTTGGTGCAAATAAGTCCAATTTCACTATGGTTTATAGGTGATCTATCGAACTAGTTAATGGGATTATAACCCTTTATAACTGGGGGGGGCACCACCTTGTTGAAGATGACCGCAGAAGTGATACAGCCCAGCTGGTCCCACGAAGAGGGAGACTCTGGATTGATGTTCACAATGGCTTTGGGCCAAAATTGGTTATACTCCCAAACAGTTTAGTTTTTTCTAGTTGAATTCTGATCCATATTCAAATCTACTTAAATTAACGGTCATATTGTCATACTTTTGAAAAACATAGTGTTTGCTAGTGAAAGTCTATGAAATTTCGATCCATACCCCAGCTCAACAGTCATGATTGCTCAGCCCATATGCACAGTGACACATTTGACGCACCAGAGATCCGCAGAAAGGAAGCGCGGGATGATGAATATGTGCCATTACAAATACCCTGATCAATTGATTGCTGCAATGTGAGGCCCCCGTTGGATAGCTAAGTTGGTGCACATAACTCCAATAACTTTGGTTTATGGTACTTATAACGAACTAGTTACTGGGGCTTATAAACCAACTTATAACTGGGGGGCCTCACATTGTGGAGATTATACTACCTGGTTTACTGGGGATTATGATGGCCCATATGGGCCCCATTGGGAATCCGTTTTCAACCAACGAACGTATTTCATGAGATGGGATATGATGATGGTCAATGTGGGTACAATTTAGGAAGCATCAAAATCCCAGGGGATTGGGCAACCTCCCTTGAAGGGTCATAGAATTCGACCGAAAATCGATAAAGGATTGCAACCGAGAAGACAATTTTTGAACTTTCTGGCAGTGTGGGATGTCACGATCATTCACAACCAACACACTGGGAATCCCACAACATAGCGATATGAAAAAGAAGTGGCGGCTGTTGACATTTAAAGACCCAGGGGTATCATTTATCAAACAGCGTTTGCCAAAATTGTGACATATTCAACAGGACATAATTAATAAGGTTGTGCCCCCCATCATATATATATATATATACACACGATTATACACGTATTATACCATAAAGCAGTATTCCTAGTCTATATAGTTGCAAACGAACCTAGTTATCACAAACCAACTATCAATTCCCACCAAGTTTGTTGCTTAAAGGCCCGTCAAAGAAGTGGACAAAAATCGATAGTGCCAGGCCCGCCTTATAGGTCATAGCTTCTATGATGACCTGAGCAGTGTTCAAAACTCCTGTTGGTTGATCATTGTATGAAATATGATCAATGGGAATTTCAGGATCCTAAAATGGAGGTACGTTAGTACCATATTTATCCATATTTGGAGTCTCCAAAAATGGGCTAACATGCCTTAACATGTGTTGACTATTTCTTCAATGGGTATTTCAGGATCCTAAAATGGAGGTCCGTTAGTACCATATTTCTGGCCATATTTTCTGGGTATATTCGCTTACATAGCCCTGAAAAATAGGCCTTATATATGGTAGGTACCTTCAATTTAGGTTCCTGAGATGGCCTGTGATATGAAAGTTTCTTAAAATATCCTATGGGGTATCCCAAATCGTCCCCACCATGGTTCTTAACCTAAATCCTAAGTAGTGGTCATCCATTAAGCATGATTTGGGCTACCACCATGACGAAACGGAAACCCCAGAAAAATATGGGTTTATACTATCCAATATGTTGATATACGGTGGATGGTTGCGAAATCCTGCATCACCAAAAGGATGGTTGAAACCCTTGAAATAGTGGGATGTTTACCAACTATCGACTGGTGCAGCATGTCGCAACCATCCACAGTAGGGAGAGAATGGGGATATACTGTAATGGAACTATAGTGGTAGATCTGTCATTCATGTAGTGAATATGTATACTTCTGGGGGCTTATTGCAATAGTTATACCATATGAGCAGTGTTCAAAACCCCTGTTGCTTGATGATTAGTTCGGATTATACTGCCCTTCATATAGTAGGGATTTGTTCATAATCCAAGAACGGGGAATCCCTATTAACCAACCAGGATTACCCTCGGGTTATTTAACATAGCCATGGGAAATGGCCCATTTATAGATGGTTTACCTATTAAAAATGTTGATTTTCCATGGCTATGTTAAATAACCAGAGGGTAGATGGAATGACATTTCGGTGTTTTGAACACTGCTCTTATGGGAACTCCGTCACCGAGGTGGCTTTAAGTTCCAACCCCATCTGGAGAGATCGACGTGGGCAACGCGTAGAGTTGGAGAAAGGTGGAGCCCTCGACGGAGGGGTCATTGTCCACCAGTTGAAGATGGGGATTTACCCTCTGGTGTAAATATTGAAATCTATTTTGTTAGATTATATTATCATATATTCTCTTATTTTATGTTTTATGTTATTATATTAACAGTTCGATCCGGAAAATGGCAAATTTTTATTGGTTTCACTAATCTCCCAAACCCGATGACTGCCAGGATCAAACTGTAAAAATAACAGCAGCGTCACAAACGAAAAATGGTGGTCATGGAGATACAGTGGCAACTTGGAAAACATGTGGATCGTTGGAATTCTTCACTAATTTAGTTGATTGCGCTAGGTGAATCTTATGGTGGACCTGATCGGTATATGTACAGATGTTGTCCACAAGAAATAGAGATTCACCTGATTTAAGCTCCACAGAAACCTCGAAACATGGGAAATAAAACAATTGATGATATATATATATACTTAACATGCACAAGAATTATCAAGAATTTGTCTATCGCATGGAGATGATGGGCGTTATTCTTGGATAGTAATTTTGGCAAATGGCCACAAGATTACTTAGGAGACCCTCACATTACTGTAGAGGCTGGTAGAAGGTGGTGCCCCAGTTCGGAATCGCTAAGTTGGTGCAAATAAGTCCTATGGTCCTAGGCTGAGTTGGAGGTTATATCACCCCTCCTACCTTAATGAAATTATTTCAGGGGGAGCTTAGAGATCGGGGCACAGGGAGCTTAGAACTGCATCAGCGAGACAGGCCGACGTTTACCAGCATGCTCGCAGGGGTGAGGACTGCAGATGATCTAGATGCGGTGCTTGAGCTTGGGCGCACGGT